ACTGGGGAGGAAACAGAGAAAATAGAGTAATTGAAGAAAATCTGAGGAAATGGGAAAGAAATAGAAGAACTTAGGGAGAAATGAAGAAAGAATCTCCAATTCCAATAAATCAAATATAAAAGTCTCGTTCATCCATAATCCCAACATCTCAATCATGCCAAAACTTGTAGAAACCAACACACTACAACATTTTTACTCTTTTACTGCATAACTTTAGCTGCATTTTTTCTTATGTAACTAAATTCATCATATTACTCTCAATACATTCCATTTAATTATACTTTTTGAAGTGTAATCCCATAAAAAAAATTGAGAGGAGAAAAAGCCCACAAAATACAAGCAGCCAATGGGCCATGACACAGCCTAATAAAAAACAAACAAAAGTCCCCCCATCTTTTACATGCTCAGATAGACTATATTCTTGAAAAATCCCTCTAGCTCTGCGTTGCTGCTTTCTCTTTTCATGATTCTAGAAAATGTCAAACAAATGAAGAGTTGATGATGCCAACCAACTTAAATGGATTAGTGTCGCATGCGTAGTTCTAAACCTGTTCTTATACTTGCCCATGTCAATTCCTAGATGCTCTGCTCCGTACAAATCATTTGATCTAGATTCTGCTGTGGGGTGTTTTTCTTGAAAATCGCCTAAGTTCATGTCTCTCTCTCCAGTCATTTTTTATCATTTTTTTTTCAGATTTTTCTACTGTCAATTTTTCTAAGACAGGTAAATCTCTTTTTCTCCTTTCATCAATTCTCTTTTTCTTTCTTTGGAACATTCTCGGTTAACACGGATCTAAAGAAATCCTCAGTGATTTTCTCAACTCTTTTGATTTTATCTTATTTTTGTTCGTGATTTTTCAAATCTATTTGAAATTTGATAGTTGAGAATTTTGAACAAATGTTGAATAGAGTTTTTTATTGTGTTCAGGCAAGTGTTCATATTCAATTCTCTAATTCTGATTCAGGAACTCACTTTATTTCTCCTCTCGTTTTCTTTTATTTTAAGCATGATTTATGTAGTTCAAGTTTAGATTGGTGTTTCCTATAACACTAATTAAGGGCTTTGATCGCAAATTAGGGTTGCGGGTTTCTTAGGGTTGATTTGTGAGATATTTTTAAGTTGGATTTTCGTTTTCATTAATTTTCTCTTTCTTTTATTTTCTACTTGATTGCAGTGAATGTCTTCTATTTTGTCTATTTGATTCTAGGAGTAAGATGACTTTGGTTGCTTGAGAATTTGACTTAGGTATGTTTTAGTCGATGATGGAATTGACTTAAAGAAACTGTGTTATAAGCTCTATGATAGTGCTTATCTTCACCCCAAAAAATAAAGATTTTGTTGTGGTTTTATCTCACATCATTATACCACGCTTAATCAATCTGTGGATCCAAAAATTTCATGATATAAGGTCCAAATAACCTCTAACGCAAGCATGCAATTGGCATAGTGTGAAAATAAATTGACTTTAAGAAAAGTTAAACCATTCTATTATGTGGCTTAATCATAAATAAACTAAAGGAAAGGAACGCAAAAGCAAACTCTGAATTGAGATTAGATAATGAATACTATATTTGTCTAGTAATAACAAGTATAGGGCCTGGGCAAGGGGAAAGAGAAGAGGTGCAAGTCAAGTCAGCTTATAATTAGTAAGCTTTTAACATTAAACAACGTAAGTTGGATCAAGCTAGAAATGATAAGGGGGTCTTTCTCTTTGATCTAAGAATCTTTGTTTTCAATCAAAGATTGAAAGCTTATAATTAGTAATCTTTGGTTTTTTGAGAGGAGCTTTTGCGTACAGAAGAGTGACAAGGTAATGGCAAGAAAACGACCTCAATGATAAAGTTTCCATTATTTACTGCATTTTGCTGCCTTTTCAATTATAATAGACAATAATAAGCAAACATTATTATATAAACTCAGATGATCTCAGTTCTCAAACGTGTATGCTTGGTATGTTATTTTAAACGCCATCCAACTTTATATCTATCAATCTTTCCTCTTGCTCGTCAAGCTCTCTTCTTTCTCTGGGTAGGCACCATCAGCATGGAAGGTGGCAAGCTAGAATAGGAAGGGTTGCTGGAAACAAGGACTTGTACCTTGGAACATTTAGTCAGCTTTTGTTCCTTTTTTCCTTCTCCTTTTAACTTTGGGTTCATTGTTTAGAAAGTGCCATGTCTCAACATCTCGCATAATTGTTCAAGTAGTTCAGTTATTATAGACTTATTTTATGTACATAAAATAAGAAGTTGAGGTATTCCATAAATCCAAGTTAGAGATAAGGTCTAAGGACACATCAATTTCAAAAAAAAAAAAAAACATGAATTACTAGATTCATGTATGACAAAGTTCATGATTATCTCAGTTCATGAACTCAATTTAATTCCCAATATTCATGAATTCAAGTTTAATTTCCAACATCCTCATCATACATAGAAAAGGAAAGAAACAAACTAACATGGAAAATGTTGCACTTGCTTAAATAGTAGCTATTCACAGATCTTATAAGGAACAAGGAAATGATGAACTTTTAAGGAAAAACCTAGGGAAAAAAACAGAAACGGTTTACTGAGAAGTAAAATCAAATTCTGGATTTCCACTCTACATTTGAGGCTGTTAATGAACTTTTGCTGGCAATGACAGCAATGAGCCAGCCC